AAAAAAAAAAAAAAAAAAGAACTTAGATTTTTATAGTGAATTTGATTGAAAGTGTGTTTTTACACGCTTTTTTGTGCTTTTAAACGTGATAAATTGTGATTAATTGAGCGAATGTATAGATAAGTAGACCATCAGAATCCTCAAATCTATATAGGGCAGGACGACAATGCAGAGAAGGGTAAGAAATTGTTTTCCAGACTCCCAAGCAGTGTTGGGACAAGATTGCAACGAGGGTCAAAGGTTCCTGAGCCTGAAAATCATAGGTACAGTGGGACTAAGCAAAGATGAGATCAAGAAACTATCTGTAGCGTGCTCTTTATCCCAAACAGGTAACTATCACGTTTCTTATACTCGAAGTGCCTCAAACACACTGTTTTCTAGTTCTCGGGGTAGACCGCATGCCTTGCTCACATTAGTTAATTACATATAATTCATGTCTTGAAAATCTTTAGCAACCCTTCCTGGTCTGGGGACCACCAATCTAACCTCCTAGTGTATTCGTCAAATAACAAAGGACTTACGTTGTATCGTAACTTTCTTTCCTAATCATTTTATATTCCAAGACCAAGTTACTCGACACATAATTGGACATGAAAAGTAGGATGGGCTCTATTTTCTTACGGCAACAAGTGATAGGGGCGATCAATTCCCACTTTCCTACCTATCAAAAAAATTCATATCAAATAAAGATGAAATATGACTTAAATCACTTTCGTCTCAAGAACATGTTTCCTTCATTATTTAAAAAGGTTTCAAGATGAAATATGGAGCTTGTTGGTAAGAGAATGGAAAAATTGTTTTTTAGGACGTATTTTGCTAATTAGTCAAAGGTTGAGGATTGAAATGTTACAGAATTGGACTAGATTGCAGCGAGGGTCCAAGGTTTGGACCATTAGCCCCTGTTTGATTTTTTTTTTTTGAGAAAATAAGTTTTGAAATAAAAATTGTCAGAGAATGTGTGATTAAAAAGTAAAAAAAAAAAATTTGAATTTACGTACAAAATATTTTATTGTGTGAACATGTAATTGAAAATGCGTTTAAAAAAAAAAAATAACAGAGATTTGAGTTAATGGATGTCAAATAAGGGTTGTTAAGTATATGCTTACACCACAATTTATAAAATTCACCATATTTTATTTGCAATAACTATTTTTAATCTTTGCTCATTTTTGCATTTATGTCCTGGATTTTTTTTTCTATCACACTTTTGTCTTCAAACTTCTATGAAATTGTAAAAATTGTCTCAAATAACGACGTATGTCCAAAAATTTTGTTAGAAAAGCATAAAAACCCGATTTTTCTCTCGTAATTTAAAATAAACAATAAGAGAGTGTTTGGTATGGATTAAAATTAGATTTTTAATATATTGTGATAGAAGTTTTTGAAATGTGTAGTTGATGAGTTGTGGGACCTATGAAATGTGTGATTAATATTGATTGTTTGACTTAAATTAAAATATGATTTTAATTAGAAATAAAAAGGGCCTAAATATAAAAGTTTGACAAAATACATGGACCTCAAATCAATGTAGGTTAGCAAAATATTTGGAATAAATCATCGTGAAACAAGATGTTCCAATTAATTGAAAGTAAAAAATAAAACGCGATAAAAAAAAAGTTAGAGATATAAATACAAGCGTAACTAAATATTAAGGACCCTCATTGCAATTAAATCTCGAATATAATTTAAAAAGTAAACGTGGACGATTGTACCTACCAAACAATCGGACTCCGAGAACATCGTACGACGTCGTACCCTTCTCCGACAATACAGACTCTGTAATTATATAATTCTCTCTGCGCGTAAAAAAGTGACACAAAAAGCTGGAGGTTTGGATTTGTCGAAAGGGGTATGTCATAAATCTATCTCTAATTAAATTAAATCATTATTCTCGTATATTTTTATGTGGTTTTGATTATATATGCGTTGAGACATTGCTGTCTACGTAATTCCTGTAAGAGTTAATCGATCCCTTGATCGAAATCCATGTATTATATGCGTTAGTATTTGTGGATGTGGTCATAAAAATCGGAGAGGAAAGCTCTTTCCTTTTTCTTTATTTGGGTAGAAATCAAATACTCTTCACAAGTATTGTATAATATGGCTCAGAATAGTAGTCAGGGTCTTCTTTTTTTCTGATTATTGAGACAGGCATTGAACAAAAGGTGATAACTAAGGGTCATATGGACAAGGATCACACTGTTGCTGCTGTTTACAGGGCTGTGGCATGTATTTATACAAGTATAGTTATGGTTTGTCACTAATTAAGAGCCATTTGTGCTATTACTACCTATACTATTGATACAAATATGACAAAATGCCATTATGGTTTCTCTTACCTTTCCTTATGCTAGAATATCGAGATGAGTACAGTAGATAATTCCTGTTACCAGGTCTAATTACCTGTTGGAATCCCCGATCCTTGTTCTAGCACAAACAGGGCCATTTAGAACAACTGAGAATTAAATTAGTCGGGCCTCAATCAATCTAAGTGACCCTTCAATATCAGATTCCATTTGAGTCTACATTTCTCTCTGATCAGCTAAATAAGATGGCTTCTTTACTCTTAGTTATAATTTTTTTCATAAGGTCGGCTTTTGCTATTTCCTTTATTTTCTCATCAGATTGGTTAATATGGGCCTTTAAAACAGGATGTGGATACTTTTGGAGTTCTAAGAGTTTTAACTGATGCACTGATGATTTTGATTTACTGTTCATTGCATATCGGGTTTTTTTGTACCCTTGATTAAGATGACTTGCAACACCGGAATTAAAAGTTGATTTGAAGTTATTCTTTTCATTTCATAGGATTTTTGGTAGGTATTTATGGCTTACGCAAATGGAATTGTGAGTGCACAAGGTAAGCCGCCTCTATTTTCATTTGGCGTGATATCGGATGTCCAATATGCTGATATTCCTGATGGCCGTTCATTCCTTGGTGTTCCTCGATATTACCGACATAGCCTTCTCATGTTGCAAAGGGCAGTCCAGAAATGGAATGAGCAAAAGCCAAAGTTTGTGATCAATTTTGGGGACATTATTGATGGCTTCTGTCCAAAAGACCAATCTCTATCTGCTATTAAAAAGGTCATTGATGAATTTAATGTTTTCGATGGCCCTGTATATCACATGATTGGCAATCACTGCCTCTACAATCTCCCTCGTGAAAAGTTGCTTCAAATGCTGAACATTCCTAGCATTGATGGTCTTGCCTACTATGATTTTTCTCCAATTCCAGAATACCGAATTGTAGTCCTTGATGGCTATGATATAAGCGCTATTGGTTGGCCAAAGGATCATGAAAAGACATTGAAGGCCTTGAATTTTCTTCGGGAAAGGAATCCAAATTCAGACAAAAACAGTCCAAATGGATTAGTGGGGCTTGAGAGAAGATTCCTTATGTTCAATGGAGCAGTTGGGAAAGAACAATTGGAATGGTTGGATCACGTCCTTCAGGATGCAACAAATTCTAACCAGAAAGTTGTGGTATGTTGCCATCTACCTTTAGATCCTGGTGCAGCAACTAAAGAAGCTCTCTTGTGGAATTATGATGAAGTGATGTACGTGATTCACCAATACAATTGCGTAAAGGCATGTCTAGCTGGACATGACCACAAAGGTGGACATTCAGTCGACTCCCATGGTATACATCATCGGGTACTTGAAGCTGCCTTGGAGTGCCCTCCCGGAACTGATGCTTTTGGATGTGTTAATCTTTTTGATGACAGATTACAACTATCTGGAGCGGATAGAATGGAGAGCCAGGAAATGGTTTTCAGTTGCTAGATGTACCAATGAGTGTAAGCTTGTAATCTGCTACTTTCATTGTTCAACATAACCATCATTAGCTTTAGAGGTGTATACTTTTATTCAGAAAGATACACAAAGATTGGAAATTCTTATTTCCTAAGCCCAATTCCTTTGCAAAGAAGTTTTTGAAATGTTGTGCCAGTCTTCACTTTTATTTTGCACTCACGCTTGATTTTGTTAATGCATTATATTATCTCGTATTCGTTTAATGCTTTATTGTAACTATACCAGAAATCTAATTAACGTGCATTAACTTTAGAGCATTGTGCTTTGAGTTTTGAAGTATAAGCCTAGATTGTTGTCAACCATTCTAGGTTATCCATGTCATATAATATAATACATGATGATTTAATTCATACTGTCGTACTGATGTTAGATAACTAGTACATCTCACCTTTATTAAGAATAATATCCTGGAGTTAAGAAATAAAATTCTCATTTACCTATTATTTTATTTTATTTTATTTTTAACTAAATGACATCTCGGCTTATCATAGAGGAGCGAATTTTCTTCGCCGTGACATAAATAGAGTTGATATCTGTCTCCTTCTTACATTATACTGGCCTTTCTATGTCTCTGCAAGTACATATGAGGTGTAACTGAATTAAATAAAACACATGTATAATGACAGCATTATTTCATGTCAAAGCTCCATATATTTTAATCAATTTGTTGTGGATCCTGCAGATTTAGGTCAATTAAGTAGTTGCTACATCCTCATCATTGACTTTAGGAAAGTGCTATGCATCATCTTATATGTCAAGTCAATAATAGATTCATAAATAATGAATCAAGACTGTAAGAGACTGGGCAGAAAACTTAATATGGTCATCACAACTTGTTAATGTAATATATCATTACAAGAAGGTTTTATAAGTCCTTGAAAGGATCTGCTCTGTATTAGACAGAGCATTTTTACATTGATTGGTCACATGCAACTGGAGACTTCTAGTTAAATTATAATATATGAAGAAAACACAACTCAACTATTTTAAAAGTACTGATAGAACGTTGAGTAGTTTTTGACAAAAGGTACCCAAGAGACTGCATCACTTTGCTTGGGACACCTTGGCTTTTCTTTTTTCCAGGAAGAAGAAACCGAACAAAGACACGACAGCGAAAGCAGAGAAGCAAATAGAGGCAATGTCAAGCGACACATGGCGTCCACTAATTGCCTGGACATCGAACAAGTTGGTGGTCTTATGGGCATCTGTGGTTTGGCCATAGGCTACCTCATGGTCTGCAGAGTTATAAACATATGCTCGGATAAAGTATGTAGCAGTCGGCACATCCCTCTCTACTGTCCAGGTGAAGGTGTTGTTAGAGGAACTGTATGGCTTAGTAACAATATTGTGTTGGCAGGTCTTATCTTTGTTTAAGTGGTCCTCCGTTTTTCTCCAGGCTCGATCCTGTTGGCTAACAGGGGCGTAACAGAGCTTGAGCTTTACTGTCTTGTAGCTTGAATCTGTCCCAGCTGCTAGGGATTTGTTGAATGACCATGACACTATTATATTGTCTTCCCCAGCTTTCAGTACTGCAATTTAGAAATAATTTTAGATGTGAGTAAAAACATGTACTTGTGAGTTGTATCTTAATAGACAAGGCCAATAAATATTTTTCTTGAAATAACGATTACAGTAGACTGATTAATCATGATATTTACATTCTGACATTATTCATATATTTTTTTTCTTCAGCTTCCAGCGAAGTTTATCTTTTGTGTTGAAAGAACTCGAGGTGGTGTTATGTCTCCCTGCCAAAGTTCTGTAATTTTTGCTTGATTTCGTCCTGTTATTGATAAATACTCTCCACTTATGTGATGACTAGATTTAGTGCCCATTTGGCAGAGTTTTTGCTTATGGCTCTTGGAGAAGAGTTTTATGAAGCATTCTCTAAAAGATCTTCTAACCAGACAAGACACTTTCAAAAAGTTATCCAAATAGGTTCAAAAGCAATATTTTTAGTCTCACTGGTTTTTGATTTTTCAAAAGTCCTATGAAACTGTCCTAAATACAATCTTAATTAAATTAGAGTACACGTACACATGAATTTGTTTGTTTGTGCGTGCGCGCTAGGGAGGGGGGATGGTGGAATATTACCTTGTCTGAGTTTTGGTGAAGCTGTGACAATAAGACTTTCCTGAAGAGATGAGAAGGTTACTTCACCATAGGAAGTGGCTGCCAAGCAAGAAAACAGGAGCGAAACGACAAGAAAACCTTGAATTGCCATTGATTAACTCTATGGATTTCCAAACAATCAGGGGGAAAGATTATGGAAAGTTATGAAATCCCACTGATGATTTGATGTTAAAGATGTGCCAAGATGTTTGATTTTGGCTGCTTTATATAGAGGAGATGCACATTTCAGCGCAGAAATGAAGGGTTATCTTTGAATGTCAGCATCAAAAGTCAACTGGCAGGTTTCCTATTTATTTTTATGATCAACAATTAGAATATTTAAGATTAAAATGTTCCGACTCTTCCATGATGTTTTTTATATGGCGAATGGCCCGAAGGCATGCTCAAAGGGTTGTTTGATTTTTCAATTATTTCTGATGAATTTGTTTATAAAGTTGACTTTCCTTGGTACATTCTTGGATGGACTGGTATATTTTGGAGGTGTTGAAGAATCACAGTTAGAGATTCATTTAAATATTCAATTTGATACTGTATGATTTTTTTTATTTTTATAGGCAAAACTTGCCCCCTTGTGCAATGGAAAGAGTAGATAAACAAGATACAAGAGGTTTTTTTTTTTTTTTTTCTTTAAAAAAAATAAATAAATTTGCCCAATGGATCATACGCAGTCATCATAGAAATATTAACGGTCCATTTGATAGAACTTCTATTTTTTTATAGAAGAGCTACCTCTTGTATATTTTCTTTAGAATTTATTCAATTGTCTATAATTTATTTTCTTTTCGTATAAATTTCATATTTGCAATCAAACTCACCCGAAAAGCTCTTCTAATCGGATAAAATATTTTCAAAAAATTATTCAAATATATTCTAAAGCATTTTTTTCGTCCCAAAAGTAGCTTTGGGCTTTTCTAACATTATAAACTTAGTTTGGCAGCCAATTTATAAATTCGATTAAAATCGAAAATTAATTTTAGTCACACATTCATGAGTTATAATTACTATTTATTATCCACACTTTTCTTAAGAATCAACTATTATTTTTCTTTAAATTAATGTATAAATTTGCCAAATTGAATGTAATTTATAACAGGTTTGATAAGAAGGACCTACTAGAATGAGATAGTATGTTACTATTTTATTCGTTATACTATCTAGTCCTGTATAATATCGGTATACAATTACTTCTATTTGAATCCGTTGCTTTATACATTCCGCACCAAATTTGACTTGAAATCTTTATACTCTAAGAAGGGTATCTAATATGGAAAGAAGATACTTATTTTAGAGTATGAAGTGTTCTATACACTATAACTTCATCCTCCTTAAACGATTTTCTTTAAAAGAAACCCAAATCTATTTATTGCAGAAATTTAAAATCGGTCATCTCACCGAGAAAGCGTGTTTCGCTAAACTTAGCAAGGTTACATGCAAATAAATCAGTTTTAAATTAAATAATTTTTATTAATAAAATTGAATAAGTATGTTATATGTTTTTAAGAGTAAAATAAGAGTACTTTAAAAATAAGTATTCTATTTTTATTTTTAATTTTTTTGTTTTGGTACTTTGAGCACATTTGATTTGGCCTTTATTTTATAAACCACTAAATGTGACATGTTTTATTGAACGAAAACAAAGATGGTACATACTTAGGAGAAAGCCGACAAACCTCAAGCTAAAGGACGGAATTGGTAAGACTACTCTTGCTACATAAGTTTACAATGATGTATTTATTATGTATCACTTTTATATTCGAGCTTGGACGACAGTATCGCAAGATAGTAATGTGAAAGAAATCCTACTAGGCATTCTAGATTCCCTAGGAAATTTGACTGGGGAAATGCTTCAAGAGTGCAAAGAACAAGTAGAAGAACAACATTTGTATAGGAATCTAAATTGTAGGAGGTATCTAATTGTAATGGATGATGTATGGGATTCAAGGGTTTGGGATGATGTGAAACGTTCATTTCCAAATGACAAGGATGAGAGTCGAATCATGATGACTACTGTGCTAGAGACAGTAGCTGGTTATGAAAATTCTTATTCTCCTCGTCACATGCGTTTTCTAAATGACGATGAAAGTTGGAATTTATTTTGCGACAAGGCATTTGGATAACGTTGTTGTCCTATTGAGTTGGAGAAAATCGGGAAGAAGATTGCTCGAAATTGTAAAGGACATCCACTCGCTATTGTTGTGATTGCAGGCCTCATCTAAAAGGCTACAAAAACACATTACTGGGCAAATGTTGAAGAAATTTTAAGCTCAGTATAACTTCAAATGAAAGGGCGTTTCCTCTATATGGGAATTTTTTCAGAAGATTTTGATATTTTTGTGTCCCTTTCTTGTCAAGTGATGGGTTTCCGAAGGAATATTAAAACCAGTGAGATTTATAAGTTTGGAGCGCACGAATACTTAATGGATCTTATTGATAGAAATCTTATTTTGGTTTGTAGTGCAAGCTCTAATGGATCTTGTCCTGCAGAATTTCACTATCCTGGTATCCCTTAAAAAATTAACTTTAGAACATTGCAACCTTCCCGGGGAAGGCATGACGATTGTCGGTTCATTACCCAATCTTCAAGTGCTCAAATTGAAATCTTTTGCCTTTGCAGGTCGAGAGAGGGAACTAAATGAAGGGAAATTTCTGGAACTAAAATTTCCTCTACTTGAAAAAATTGATCTGGAACATTGGAAAGCCGATAGTATCCACTTCCCAAGCCTTCAACGCCTCTTCATTAAGGAAAATCTTGAGTGGGGAGATCAGAAGAAAGACCAAGATTGTGCACTCTCGACCTTCAAACAGCCAAGTTTTGTTGTAGTATTGCAGATTCCTCA